GCAATGAGTGGAGGATAGGAGGGCTTCTTAAAGACAAACTAACAGGTCTGTGAGAGCCAGAATTCTTGCTGGTTGGTAGGTGATCAAATACTTATTTCATGCAATAAAATGGAAATAAATTATTTAAAAATCTAACAATGTGATTTCCTGGAATATTTTTGTAGATTCTGTCTCTCCCAGTTGAGGTGTACCTATGGTGAAAATTACAGAACTGTCCATTCTCTGTTAAGTGGGAAAACTTGAAAAATTGGCACTGTATCAAATACTTATTTGCCCCACTGTACCTACCTGAATACCAGCATTTCCACAATATGCTCACACTATTTCACAGTTCAATAGATGCATACAGACATCTGCTTCCTGCCTTGATCACCATCAAACTGTACAAATCAACGGTCAACACAACTGCTTTGGAAATGCCAGCATTTAACCACAATGTAATATCTACTTGAGTAGAAGGTGAAACTCCAGATGCTCAAACACCGTGGTGGTAATGAACCACATTGTTGTTTATACTTGTGGTGTTGCTTTGCATTTACCAGAAGCTCATTTGTCAGTCAAACAGTGTGGGCGTGTGGATATGATGCTATCTTTTCTTTCGAATTTTCTGGTTATGTGGTTTGAATTTCCTTAGGCAGCACTCTCACGTTGCTCAGGCTACCTACCTAGTTAAGCTTAACAGTGTGAAAGACAGACACAGAGACTGAGATGGAGAGGCTGTCTTTGCGTGTTTTTATGTGGGAATTCACCTTGAGCTTGCTCTCACAGTGAGGGAAACCATCCAAAAGCGGCAGCTCACACGTCTCCTGGGCTCCATTTAGGAGGTCTGGAAGAAGACAGAGAAAAAGAAGAAGAGAAAATCAATAAGGTCAAATCACTCACTGGTGTAGCTTAACAGGATGTATGATCTTCACACTAGAGACAAAAAATGGAGATGCAAAGTTTAACATTTCAGGAGCTAAAAGGAACATAGTACTTTTCTGCAGTGCCCTTCCCTTCAGAGGTCTGTGGTTTTTCAATAGGGAGGAAAAAGAATCTGTGTGTGTGGAGGTGGGAGATACTTTAAGTTCAGTCACTGACTTAGTATTTGTGAGGTATGTCAAACAACTGTCTAAGTTGTGAGTGTTAAGGTGAGCATGGCTGTAGACTCTTGTAAGTCTTTGGAATGACAGCTCTGGACTGTGGTCAGGGATGACTGTCGGCCAGCAGGATCACCTTTGGTTTGGTAATCAACAACAGAAGCCGCTGAGAGTGGGGCCAAGTCGAGTCCGTAAAGATCCAACCAGGCTAAGAAGCATTTAAAACATTTTCTTCTGAGCTGGTTGCTTTCTGCAATAAACACAATTGATGTAACCGCAGTGGGGAGGGAGTCACTCTGCTTTCAGTATCCCGGGAAGCCAATATAACTGCAGGATTAACATTCATGGCTCACACACAGCCTTCTCATCTGTATAATCACCTACTTGATATCCCCATTCAGAGACGTTAGCGTCATCACAGCTGACCTTTAAAGCCAGAATATAAACAATGTATAATGCTAGGCTGTGGGGTGAATAGATAAAAGCTTTAGGGTAAACACCACACTGATGTAACGAGTTTGAGGGTGGTGTCTGTTCACCAAGGTGTGTGTATGAAATAATCAGCTGCTACAGCCCTGTGTCAGGTGTCTGTGCAGGTTGGTGGTGATGGAGGGTAGAGCATCATGTTCATCACTGATTCTGTTTATTTGCACACTGCTGCAGCACAGATATTCCACTCATACTTTTTTCTCTCTCCCTCTTTCTGTGTTGCTCTATTTAGATTAGTGTGAAAAACATATTCCACTGATGCACTCTGGGCTCACTTCCTCGGCAGTGTGTATCAGAGAAGAGTGAGAGATAACAGCAAGGTGATGACAGGCCACAGACTGCTACAACTAAAAACATCACCAATGAAAAGCTGCCAGCGCAAGTTTCCATCCACTGCTTCAGTTGCAATCTAGGAAAGGAGAATAGGTGAAATTGAGTCTGTGTATGGTTTTAGCAGGGCTTCAGTCGCAGTGCACCACTTAGCAGGCTCAGATTTTTTAGAATTTATCTGCTGTTGTCAATTAATGTTGATTTCGTGAATCTGCAACACTACAAAATAATACTGGTGGCCAGATCTGTGCCCGGTAAGCATATCACAAGCTAGTGTCTGTACCTGTACTACAGTGGTGTGAAAAAGTGTTTGCCCCCTTACTGATTTCTTATCTTTTTGCATGTTTGTCACACTGTAATGTTTCAGATCGTCAAACAAATTTATATATTAGTCAAAGATAACACAAGTAAACACATCATGCAGTTTTTAAATGAAGGTTTTTATTATTAAGGGAAAACAAAATCCAAAACTATAGAGCCCTGTGTGAACAAGTGTTTGCCCCCCTGTCAAAACACTGGTTTATCGCACCTGAGTTCAATTTCTCTTGCCACACCTGTTCGCAATCAAGAAATCACTTAAATAGGACCTGCCTGACAAAGTGAAGTAGACCAAAAGATCCTCAAAAGCTAGACATCATGCCGAGATCCAAAGAAATTCAAAAACAAATGAGAAAGAGAATAATGGAGCTCTATCAGTCCGGAAAAGGTTATAAAGCCATTTCTAAAGCTTGGGGACTGCAGCGAACCACAGTGAGAGCCATTATCCACAAATGGCGAAAACATGGAACAGTGGAGAACCTTCCCAGGAGTGGCCAGCCCACTGTAATGTTTCAGATCGTCAAACAAATTTATATATTAGTCAAAGATAACACAAGTAAACACAAGTTTAAGTTTTTAAATGAAGGTTTTTATTATACTCACGTTTTCATCTTTTATGTACTAAAAATCCAAAAGTTAGTAGACCATTGTATTCAGACTCAGTGCAATTAAGCTCCAAGTTTGGGATGCTGAAAAAGAGACAATTGTTGTGTCATTAACAACCAGCATCTGGCTCATAATGTTTGCACAATCTTAAAATATAATAAACTCAGATGATCCTATAGCGCAGAGAATATCCTCAACATCCTTAACACAAATATCATTTTACACAGTATAAACATCATACATGTATGTACATACATTATTTGATAAATAGTCAACTTCTATACTGAAACTAGTTTGCCAAGTGAAGTTTGGCTTTAGGTCCTGGTATGTACAATAGTGCAAAGGTTTTGAACACTTAAAATATTTAGATTCTCTTCCATAACCAGTACCAACAGGGAAGTGCCTGATTGGTCCCAAGTTATTTCAACAGTAGGACAATAACTGTAAACATACAGTCATAAACGATGCCATTCAGAGACAAGAAGGGTGATCTTAACCTGCAGTAAATGATATGGTCTCCACAAATCCCTGATTTCATGGAGTCAGTCTGGTAGGCTATAGTGCAGAGACAGAAGAGTTTAAGACAGCTGACATCCACAGAACTGTGTCAAGTTCTCCAGGATGCTTAAGTGCCTTTAAAACTGTGCACAAAGAGTGGTCACACCAAATACTGATGCTATTTAGGTTTATTTAAGCACTTAAGTTAATAAATAAGAACCGGTCATACAAAAGCATCCTGGGTTTACTGTTAGTGCCTAAAGCCTTCGTGTTCTCAAACAGGGGTCCTTTCTCATTAACAATCAATACTCGCTTATGCAAGCCATCTGAACACACAATGAAAAATAATACAAATAATTACAACAACACTAATGTGAGGCACGACTGTATACACAGACGCCCAATTTCTGAACGAGTCACTTCAAAATAAAGATGCAAAGAAACGGGATTGATTAGATTTCAAGGGTCAGGAATAGATTTAGAGTAAAGTGAAGTTTGTTTTGAATGTCGCGATGCGTTTTCCCCTAACCATGTTATCATGTCATGTTATGCTTAACAACGCGTACCAAAAAAAAAAAAAAAAAAAAAAAAAAAAAAAAAAAAAAAAAAAAAAAGAGAGAAGAAATTCTTCGCCCCGCCTCTTCCGGCTACAACAACCAATCCTGGCGTAATGTTCTCTTTTACTTCCTTAATCGCTGTGCTGAAAGTGTGGTAAATTGTTGGGGAAAACGTGCAAAGTAGACCTGATCATGGTATAAGATACGGCAAGAATTTGCTTCACTAAACTTCAAGTTTGAGTTGAGTCTTGATAAACCAGTTTTTGAGTCCAAGTAAAGTCTGAGTCACCAAAAAATTGTCTGAGTCGAGTCCCTGTTATCTGAGTCAGTGCTCAATTCCAAGTCAAGTCAATTTCAAGAGTCCTGAAAATCAGGACTAGAGTCCTAACACACTTGTCTGTACCCATTTTGTTTATTTGGTAAAAACAGGGAAGAGGTGGGCGGCCACTGAGCCATTTCTGAAGCAGTCAGCTGGTCACAGGATGAACACAATATGCAATAACAGGCCTCTTATTGTTTCCAAGGGCAGCAGGAGTCATGAAACAAATGGCAGGATTAAAACTTATTTTATATAATGGAAAAGGAGTTGGCTGGGATTGGCTCCAGCCCCCCGTGACTCCGTTTGGGACTATGTAGCTTAGAAAATGGATGGATGGATGGAAGAGGAGTTAAGCACAGATCTACATTTTAGTTATAAGCATGCCGGATATGGTGTGCATATAAAAACATTTAAAAATAAGGCCATTTTAAACATGTATCATGCTTATGGACAGGCTGATGCAGAGGTTTCCAAACTTTGACTGACAGATGCATGCTGGTGTACTAGAAACAATGGGTTATTGTATTTGGCACAATGATTTATTCCACTTATAAGCACAACCAACAGCTGGAGCTGTAGCAGTGGCATTTAGTTAAAAGAAACAATTACTTACAAAACTTTTAGCCCCGATTGCTAATTGCTGCCACACTGTTTATTGAAAGCACTGCCTCCCATGTGATTTATTGCTTGCTAAATTAGCCACCCTGTGCAACATACAAAAGCCACAAGTGCAGAGTGACTTTCTGTTATCTCATCCATTCAGACGTGCAGCCAACCGGTCAGTCCACCAAACAACCAACTGACCAAACAAGCAAAAAACCAGCAGAGCAACCTGTCATTCGCTTTGTCATTCATCCAGTCAGCCAGCAAGGGCCAAAGCTACCAGGCAAATCTCCTAGCTTTAATCAAGCAGATGAAGCTACTGCCAAGGAGCAGCTAAATATAGCTCCCTTCAAAATCAAATAGAGGAGAGGTGGTGCTGTTTCAAAGGGAGCAGAATCCTGGTTGTTCACCTTCAGTGTAGCAAGGACATTAAATTTAGGCTAAATGCCTTGTTAGAAAAGCATCATTATTTACACAAACATTCACATACACATACATTAAACCTGAGAAAACACACAATCATAGAAAGATTAGTGGCACCTTCACTGACCTGGAAAACTGGCATGTGCAGGATATGGTTCTTATTACCATTGCTAACTCTAAGAGACGAGGCAGTCCAAGTAACTACAAAACAGTGCTGATTTATTCAAAGGATCACAGGTAAAATTAACATTACACGCTCAGGTATCTTGCACCTCCAACCTGCTCGCAGGCAGATGTAAGATGAAAGACCCTGAACCCACCAGGCCTATACATTATATCCCTTCGGTTGGGCTAGCCCCATACTACACAGAAACGTCAACCGAGACGTCTCTGTTACCAGCTTTGCAGCTGGTCATAGCAGTAGTCAAACATGAAGCAAATCAATGTGCGTGTGTGTCTGTTAGTTAAGTGGTGTGTAACTAAAAACATTCTCACAGACTTCTAGTACATGTCGTGACTTAAACATAAGAACATATTATGGCTAAGGCTACAGTTATACATGTCATAATAATAATATTAAACACCCTGTCTGCTGACAGTCATC